CTGTGGGGGAAACTGGAGCACCTAGAGGAAACCCATGCAAGCACGAGGAGAACATGCAAACTCCACAAAGAAATGCCAACTGGGCCAGCTGGAACTCGAATCAGCAAACTTCTTGCTGTGAGGCGAAAGTGCTAACCACTGAGCCACTGTGTCGCCCTACGAGATTTTATTTTACGCCAATAAATATTGCAATATCAATACAGCCTCACAAGAATTGATTAGCACTATTTGACGATTTTCTGTGGAGTCTAACAGTATTCAGGTAACCGAAATTCAATAATCACAATGCAAAAAAAGCTTTTCTTATGTTGCTTTATCTAATTTCTAGTCCAAATTAAAAAAAAAAAAATCTTAGATTGAGTAAAAATATAGTTTTGTTTTTTTTAATTCAGAAGGAATAATTATAATTATCTTCATAATTGGAAAGAGTTTGACTGGAAAATAAAAATTTGGTTTTTTAGAACACCATTGATGGTTTCAAAATATACTAACCGTCCACAGTCTGAGGAATGCTGGAAGGGTTGCGGGAATGTGGGTAATCACGCACATATATTTTGGGAATGTCCGAAGATACTTGCATTTTGGCAAGGGGTAAAGATTGAGATAATGAAAATTATGCAGATACATCTACCTTTTTACTCCCCTGTTTTTCTTGCTTGAAGGGATACCCCAGGATATATATAATAAAAATCAGAGATATATACTACATATACTTTTACTAAGTGCAAGGAAGACCCTAACAATAAATTGGATAAAGCCACACCCTCCAACAATACTACAGTTGATAGAAAAACTTGAATGTAAATATAGAATGGAGTATATGACTGCTCAACTTCAACTAAAACTGGATATTTTTAAACAAACATGGGCACCAGTTACGTTGTATCTAAATAGGACACAGTATTTCTAGCTCCTTTGAAACTGAAAATATTGTATGTTTTTTTTTTTTGTAATTTATTTTTATTTACATCTGCAGTTACTTTTTTTCTGTCGTTTTTTTAAATAATCGCTGCTGTCACTGAATGTTCTGTTCTGTAAAAAGTTTTAATGTATAAAAATAGTAAAAAAAAAAACATTGCATATCCGCTTGTTAAGTGTGATGTCACGCTAAGCGGCTTCCGGGTCCAAGCGCTTCATTCAACTCAATGGGGAGACTCATGAAATGGTAATAATAAATGTTTACAAAGCGATTTAATGCTTTCGAAAATCACGATCGCAGTATATATGTCCATGCCTAATATCCGATGGCCAGAAAGTGATAAATTTTTTTTATAAATTGTAAAATTTTTGGTATTTGTTATGCAGCAAGCCCAGAAATTGTTGTGTACACTATGATTTTATATAAATTAACTTTAATGTGTGACAGGAATAAAACGCGATCATAAACGAATGATTTCTCCACTCAAATGAATGGCGGTTTGGACCAGGAAACAGTATACATACGTCACAAACACGTCACCACTTAACAAGCGGATTTTGCGATGTGACAATTGCAGATGCACACATTGTGATTTTAATGCTAAAACAATATATTGTGCAGCCCCACATATAATAATAATAATAATAATAATAATAATAATAATAATACCCAGACAATGTCCTCATAATCTACAATCACTCAATATGCCAACATGGTTACTAACAACTTTCCAGCATTGTGCAGTTTTGCACAGACACTAACCAAACTTCTTTAGAAAAAAAGATCTAAATATGTGACCATGTGTTTTGATGACAATCTAACAGGTTTTACAGTATCTGGAAATAGCCAGTCAGGCCAGAATAAAAAGAAAAAGAAAAAACCTTCAAGGAAGTGTCTTTGGATTTAAAAAAAAAACCCAAACAAACTTTTTATACATAACATCAGAGATTCAATCGAACATTTGTTTCTAGAGAACACAAGCCACACACATGCATGCAATCACAACAAACATCATGTTCCTAAATCCATCTGCATTGCTCTGCGACAATAAGGGCAACAGTACTTATTTCTATGTGCCGAACTGAAGCGCACCGGGCATATAAAGGGTGTTTAGAGAGCATCCCATTGTTTAAAGTGCATGTCAATTGTGCTTAGAAAGAAAAGAGATAGAAGAGCTGCATCAATCAACAGTTCTTTTCCAAAATAACCCCACCCATCTCACTTCAGCTTCCTACAGCAACATACCAGGAAAGCAGCCACAGAGCAGAACAATAGTGCTCATTGCAAAATAAAAAACTCCCCTTTAGCTTCACTGGAACAACAGTCATTCAGCTGCTTCAGATTACACAGGACGCTTGTAAAACTATGCTGAACAATTAGTTGCAGATTGTATTTGAATGAAATCATTATGGCATTGTGAAATATCTTACGCATTTACTGTACACTATGGCTTCTCTTTCCTCATAAGTTGCATGTCAGTTGTATATGTCATAAGTTACGCTACTTTATTGTGTAAACTCAGCTCAAAAATGTGACTGACAGCCTGTGGTTTGATGAGTGTAAATCCTGAAATTTGAGCACAGGCATGCTTTTCTTCCTTTCTATACAAGATCAAAGAAACATTGAAGATCTGCAGAGGATCCAATCTGCTACCATAAACAACCAAAATAACGATCTCATCCTTGATTAAGATCAAAGTCCCAGTGCGTCCGATTCTCCCCTGCAATAACATGGTAAACAAGAGGAAATACTGCAAAGAAGGGAACAAGGAAAATATCCTCTACACATTCCAGAAAAAAGTAACAGAATTAGATAATATTATTGACATCACAGCAGTAGATCATACGAATATGTCAATGGTAATATAGTGTCTTGCTAAATTTAAACTGATAAGACTACATTTTTAATCATAATTTGCACATGAAACAAACTATATTGGCATTCAGTGCAGCATTGTTTTTTAATTGAATTTAATTTGATTAATCTGAAGACATGAGTGATGATAATGATATGTACAGGGAACATTGAGAGTTATATGCTCAAGCAAATATGCTGGTGAGAAAGTTTTATTTGTGTCCGGAGCAGGTTAAGGTAAACCTCTTTTGAACTTATTGCAGTTCTTTATACACAGCTTCTTTTTGGTATAATTTTAAAAAAGAGAGCTGCAGGATGCATACAATGACTGTATGAGGATTCTTCTTTAAAAACAGAGATGGTGTTGTGCAAGTGAATTACTTTTTGAGTTAAGAGTTTGATCATTTTTTGCTTTGATGAGAATTTTGATCTATAAGTTTGTCTGTCGATTGGAGAATTCTCAAAATAAAATTTTGATGTTGTTGATAAATTCTAGGCCTACTGAAGTGCGTTTCAGTCACCTTTGATGAAATATAGGCAAAACTGTCTTTTTAGGGTATTTTGTGTGGTTTGTATTGTTTTGTCTGTCTTTTGTACAATTGGACGTAGTGTTTGGAATAAAGAAAATTAATTTAATTGACAACAGAACAAACAATTGTTGTCCAATAATTTGCCTAGTAACCCTAACTAAGTTAACCCTTTAAACTGGACTTTAAGATGACAACTCATCCCCCTGCATTATTAGCCCCTTTGTTTATTTTTTTCCCCCAATTTCCATTTAACTGAGAAATTTTTTCAACATAATTGTTCTAATAACTCATTTCTAATAACTGATTTATTTTATCTTTGCCATGATGACAGTAAGTAATATTCGACAAGATCTCTTTCAACACATGTCTATACAGCTTAAAGTGACATTTAAAGGTTTAACTAGGTTAATTAGGTTAACTAGGCAGGTTAGGGTAATTAGGCAAGTTACTGTATAACTATGGTTTGTTCTGTAGACTATCTAAAAATATATAGCTTAAAGGGGTTAATAGTTTTGACATTAAAATGGTGCTTAAAAAAATAAAAACTGCTTTTATTCAGGCCAAAATAAAACAAATAGACTTTCTCCAGAAGAAAAAATATTATCAGACATACTGTGAAAATTTCTTTGCTCTGTTAAACATAATTTGGGAAACATTTAAAAAAAAAAAAAAAAATCAAAGGGGGGCTAATAATAGACTTCAACTGTATATATAGTAATACATTATGTACATTCATCACGGCAAATACAATTGAAATTAGTTATTAAAACTGTTATTATTAAAACTATTAACTATTTTAAAATGAGTTTTTTTTTTATCTCTGTTAAACAGCATGTGAGAAATATAAAATAAAAGAATGACAAATTTACAAGAGGGCTAATAATTTTGTCTTCAATTGTATATAAGTAATAGATAAGCTGTTTTATTTTCACATACATGTGTTGCGCATCATGGAGCAATGTTTCTCCCATATTTTCACTTTTATATCTTGTCATAAAATATTAAAATATTCAATTATATGATAAATCAAAATATTAAAGCAGACACTAATCGCAATATGCTTTCTTTGCATATAAAACACTTTTGTAAATTTAATTCATTAAAGAATTATTAGCTAACAAGTAAACCAATCCACTGTCAAGATTTCTTGATTTTATTGTTTTTTAATGAATTTAATAATCTCATAGTGTCTAAAATCTCATTTAAGCAACAATCTGAATATGTGCAACCTGATGCAGATACTGTGAATGCTGTTTGAGCCATGTTAAATCTGGTACACAGATTTTTGGAAAAGATATAATAACAGGATTAAACATGCAATGCAATCAGCATTATTGGAACAAAGTTGTTGGAACAAAATAAACTTTTCTTGTCTTTTAACAAAAAATGCAGAGGAAAATCAGGTCTTGTTTTCCCTCAGGGTCTGGGTGGTTTCCTGACAGACCCTTCACCCTTTTAACTTAGATCCAGATAACCACCAAAATATCTCAACTTGGTTTGGGACGATGTGCTTTTCTCATATGTTCATATGTTATACATGCTGTCTATGCCTACATAAAATGAGTGACAGAAAACTAGTTTTAAAACTAAGTTACCAAGTTTTTAAATGGCATGGTTTCAAACTGAAGCAGAAGGATTTTAACTAATGCTGATAGCGAATGAGAATGAGAGAAAGTGAATGTCGCAACTCTTCTTACCTTGTTCGTCATGCTGCCTTGGTGTGAGAACACCAAAAAAAAAACACAATTTCCACACGGAAAGCCAGAAAACAACGCAAAATTTACACGTTTAACCACGACATACGTCTGTAAACTCTGAGCAGAAAAAGACCGAAACCTGCGTGTGGAAACTTGTTCGTGTCTCATTCTCGCGCGTCGTGTCTGTTCAATATTCCGCTGTGAGTGAATCTCTCGTGCACCTACGTAGTCTGTCACGACCAGTGAGAATACATTAAATAACCCACACACCCTTGGTTTAGCACTATAACTTCTGTTATTCACTGCGACATGTTCAACATTCATGTTTATTTGCTTTCACACAGGACAGTCTATTTCTTATCAAACCCTCTACAAACTGAATAATCGGTTAATTTGAGTGACGTAACATACCTGGCATAGATCTGTCATGAAGCCGCGTCGTGTCTGATCTGCGGTCGGTGTTTCCTCCGAAGCTCCGCTCGCTGCGGACGCTCGTACTCAAATGAGGAAACGCTGCTGTTGACCATGTAGTGCAGTGCCCTGTGTGGCAAGCCGATTTAACACCATCCCACTACTACACATCTAAAAACCTGCCTACTGCTTTTTATTATTACTGATCTGATGATGTGCTGCTCATTTTATTTTATTTTATTTTATTTTATTTTATTTTATTTCATTTTATTTTATTTTATTTTATTTTATTTTATTTTATTTTATTTTATTTTATTGTAAACAATCAAACAATAATAATAATGATTTATTTGTTTATATGTCATCAGTTTTTCTTAAAAATAAACTCTTAAGAGTTACAAAAGAGGGGTTTCCCAGTGATACTAGGCAAACTTTACAACTGGGTTTCATCAATGTTAAACAATGTGTACAACATTTATTAATCAAAGCTGTTAACATTTTTCATGCAATGTGAGATCATATGAACTATCAATGAACAGTTTTATTTTTATTAATGTTAATAAAGATGATTAATTGCATAAATTTATAGTTTGTTCATGTTGGTAAATATTATCTTATTGTAAATAGAAGAATGATTGGTGTTTCCCAAATAACCTTTGAGTCAACAGTTCCAAGAACCATTTATTTTTTAGTGTGCGTGGAGAACATTTTAGTCATCTAACAATCTTTGTTTAATGAAAATGTTCTGGGTATAGTAAAAGTTATTTATGGAATTGATTATATATATATATATATATATATATATATATATATATATATATATATATATATATATATATATATATATATATGCTGCTAGACAGACAGACAGACAGACAGGCAGGCAGGCAGGCAGGCAGGCAGGCAGGCAGATAGATAGATAGATAGATAGATAGATAGATAGATGATAGATAGATAGATAGATAGATAGATAGATAGATAGATAGATAGATAGATAGATAGATAGATAGATAGATAGATAGATAGATAGATAGATAGATAGATAGATAGATAGATAGATAGATACTAGTCTAATCATTTTAGAAACTTTATTTTATTTTATTTTATTTATTTGTTTATTTGGCAGGGACAGTGTACAATTATTAGCATTTCTGCCAATGCACCAGAGTTAGCCCGAAGGCTATTTTTGATTTGTTGTCCCTGAACAACCTAAAAAAACAATACAAGAATTATACAACCAATCAAACATAGTTAAAAAGTACTAAAACAGACATGGTTATTTAGATTTTTAAAAAGAATATTTACTAGTTAAACTAAAACACCAACATTTTGTAATAGAGATAAAAAAATAGTTGAGACACATTTAAACAACAGATCATTAAGATGTAAGCACAAATGAAAACATGCTAATTTCAATCTAATCGGAATAATGACACGTCTGATTCGCTATAATCCAGATTTTTAAATGTTTTTTAATTATATCAAAGGAGGATTTTAATATACACAACATATATAGGAATTACAATTAAATAATGATTAGTCAATCATGCATTTGGATCAAATGTCAATCAAATGTCAATCATGCATTTGGTTTATAGAAACTGTCTATAAACAGGTGGTTTTGTTTAATAGCTAAAAAATTAGTACAGCCTGAACAAATTACATAGTAAAAAGTTACAATACAATAATAAGTTGAAGTAATTACTAGTATGTACTGGAATTGGTTTCAGAAGATGGACGTGAATAGCTGATAACTCAACTGCAATTGCCTATAAAGAGAAACAGTTGGGTAATGTAAAGAAATCTTGTTTTTTAAAGCTACAGGCAGGTGTGTTCGATCAGGGTTGCAGCAAAACTATGCAGACACCAGCCCGCCAGGATCAAGTTTGCCCAACCCTGCTTTACAGCATCGATAATGTAGATTTATATTTAGTTTAGCAACAAAACATCAGTAAATAGCGCTATTCCGCCTAGCCTGCTTTACTGAGGTGAAGTTGCTTTTATATACACATCACATTGGTTCATTGGTTCAACCTGTGACGCTCTCTTAATACTTACCATGCTACTCTCAATATTCACTCTGAAATAGCATGTACGTATGGCTTAGTAATAAGTGTAATTCCTGTATGCTGCCGGCCAAGCACTAGTCGCTAAGTGAGGGTTCTGCTGTCATGTTTAAGGTGCACAGGCTTGTATTTCAAGAGGCGTGAACGGCAGGGGTGGGACTATGTTTCAGAGATTTATGCTAGTTAGCATTTGTTGCGGATCACTGGACCTTTAAGAATGAGTTAACGATGATGTCCCCTTCAAGTAAAGTCATGCTATAATTATACATTAATGTATTATGAGTTCATGATGGTTAAACTGCGCATAATGTGGTATTAGCATGTACTAACAAGTAATTAAGGTAGTCGTTATTCAGACATGAACTCACGTGACTCTTGTTGTAGTTAAAGTTCATGATTACTGCATGCATTGACTTATCATTAGTTCGTAACAAAGTAATGTTTAGTTTACATGTTAGTACATCATTAATTTATTGTTATTGTAAAGGGTTACCATTTTAAGTTAAGCTATAGCAAATTCTAGCCTACCGTAATATAAATATACTACTACATTATTATTAATACTAATAATAATATTTAGTAAAAATCAACAATAACCTATATTTCTTGGCATTGAATATCTAATAGGCTAAGAATACATCGTGTCAACATTTAGTTTTTAGAAGTCAGTGTAAAGACTGCTTGCCACAGCACACCTCATCTGAGAAACGGGGGTGGATAGATCATAGGTAGCCTCTCTCTCTCTTCAGCTCCATAAAACCTCTGGAATTCACGGTTGACAGAGTGAGACTGCAATGATTCATTTCTGCAGCAGAAAAAAGAGATTCATTTGTGCATTTGAGCAGCAGAAAGTCAAGACAATTACTGGAGCACTGGTTGAGGTGCAGGCAAAGAATTCGAGTGGACTACTTATATATGAAATGGCAGGACAGCTGTTCTTATTTAACCAAAGCATTTCTGTAAAAAACGTTTTGAATGAATTTGGAAGATTTGCATTGAAATAATGAGTAATGTGCATGACCGTCGTATTAAATAAGTCGTTGTATACAGGTTTGTGTGTGGCGGTTATTTTGGCTTGTCGTGTGCGTGAGTAAAAGGTTATTTACATGCCTGTCTCGTGCCGAATCTTTTTCTTTCAATAATAATGTATTTGCGCCATCTAGTGGACATGTTCTGTCACTCATCTTGTTAGCAATAATTAGAAAGGAAATAAAATAAAATAGTAAAAAAAAATACTAAACAAAACAAAATACAAAATTGGAAGATTGTTAAATGGCAATTAATTTAAGGAATATTTTTAGATTAACTAAAGATTTATGACAGCTAAAATATTATTATTATAAATTATTATTTATTGTTATTATTATTATTCTGGGTTAATCTGGGTGCTTCGGTTTCCCCCACAGTCCAAAGACATGTGGTATAGGTGAATTGGGTAGGCTAAATTGTCCGTAGTGTATGAGAGTGTATGGATGTTACCCAGAGATGGGTTGCAACTGGAAGGGCATCCGCTGCGTAAAACCTATGCTGGATAAGTTGGCGGTTCATTCCACTGTGGCAATCCCAGTTTAATAAAGGGACTAAGCTGAAAAAAATGAATGAAAGAATTATTATTATTAATAATAATGAAGATGATAATAACAATAATATATATATATATATATATATATATATATATATATATATATATAAAGCTTATAAATAAAATAGGAATAAAATCAAGAATGAATTTCATTTTGAATCCTAATACAATGTATAGAAATTAGTTCCTTTACATTTCTGTCAAATGTAGAGCGTGAGGGCGTTAGATGCTGTGTCTACTCTTATTATGTGTACATTCTTTTGTCATCCTTCTCTTTCTTCTTTCTTGTTCAGTGCGGTCGTTTTCTCATCCTGTGTGGTGAACAAGTCACATGACTCAACTGCCTCTCTCTCTCTCTCTCTCTCTCTCTCTCTCTCTCTCTCTCTCTCTCTCTCTCTGTCATCCTTACAGCACACTAATTTTGATTCAACTAAAAACAGAAACACAGATGTAAAAACATATCCACATAGATATAGGTTTACAATTTGAGGGAAATATGCTGTTGGACCTCATTATCAACAGGTATTATTCAACCTAAAAGAATCTTTACTAATCTATGAATAAACATTGCATTAACAGAGTAGTATTATTTTAGGAGGAACTTCAGTTTTTAATATCAAGTGCGCAAGTGATCTATGTTGATTTTGGTGATTTTAAGGCCATGATAGCACAATTTGTAGTTTTTTTCTTAGTTTTCAATTAAAACTGCACAAAAATATTATAGACTGTAAATAAATTATATGATCAATTAATCATGGCACATTTTTTTTATTTCAATGCAACTAATTAAACTTGGTAAATCATGTTCTAACTTAATTTTCTAAGCTACGCAAGCTGTTTTAAATCAGGTTAAAATTATATAAGTTACATGGACTCATAAGGCCAAGTTGATTCATCTTTTAAAAAAAAAAGGTAACCAGTATTTTTTACAGTGTATGAATGAATTTAAATTAGCATTGGTTCCAATATTCAATGATGCAATAATCTGCATGGAATTTATTATGTGAAAAATATTGTCTTTTTGTATTATAAATCAGTAACATTAATAAAAAGTGGTGATTGAAATATCAAAAATCCAAAAAGTTTTGATCAGTACTTATGTCAAGAAGAATATCTAGATTGAAAGTATAAATAAAGGATAAATATTTTGCCCTGTATAAATGTTAATACATAAGACTTAATTATTCGTTCACACCAATTTGAAATTCTGTAAACAGAAGTTCAAGCTTCTGCTTTAAGCTCATGGTTGACATAAAGGAACACTGAGAAAAAAATATTCAAAGTTTATTCCTTGGATTTGCATTTTTTTTTTAGGTTAAGTCATCGTAAATTTATTTGGGCTGAATTTAAACAAACAAATTAAGCTGAACATTACTAAATTTAATTTGTTTGTTTAAATTCAACATAAATTGTTTGCAACAATTTTGCAGACATTATTTTTTTCAGTGAATGAAACTTATTGGTTCTCACGTGTCAAGAAAGCTCACATTTCAGAGACTGATATAAAAAAGTAAACAACTAAATATGCGGAATTATTTACAGATTATAACCATTCTGAAGAGTTTTGGATCATTTGAGGGACAGAAATATGCAGGTTGTACTAAAAAAACATCCTCATCTATGTTCAGAATGAACGAAATCTACTACACACAATCTCTGGCAGTTTACTATTGGTTGTTTGCCTGTGACCTTTTCCTTTGCCGCTCTCTTTTTCTGCAACACACGCGTTTAAACAGGATGAGGCAGAAACACACAAGATCTGATAGAAAGAGGCAGCAATTCACATCCTGCAATTGACCATGGACTTTGACTACCAGAAGATTAAAGGTCAGTTATCTATAACCAGCTTCTGAACCGCCCTAATCATTTTTTGCTTGCAGAAATTTACAGTGTTGTCGTGTTGAAGTAACAAAACGCATTTCTGGCGGTTTCAGGACGTTGTTTACTTGCTTCATCTGAAGATATACAACAAATGCAAATGTTTTTAAGCTATAAAATGTCCATATTTATTTTGATATCAGATGCAATTGTTATTTTGTCTTAATTACACATTTTATGTATTAGTTATTTTGTGAAGGTCTTTTAAGTTTGCTATAAAAGGTAAAACATTTGCTGCACAAAACGAAAATACTAATGTACATAATATTCTTTTATCATATTGAATAATTCTCAAAAACAAATGAACTGTCTCTAACTAGGCTACATCACATAATCTTTGGCGGTATAGCTACAGGGGAATTTGCCGTTGACTGGAATGTTTTGAAGTTTGTGTTTGTTGCTCGTGTCACTGGGTGTCTAATAAAGAACGTGATATTTCCGTTCTGAGCCTCACTGTGTTTGGCATTCGATATTTAGATATGTTATAGGCCTATACTACACCCAGATAAAGTCTCACTGTCTGTTTGATTGAGTTGGAATAAAAATAGCCTACTTTAAAAAGGAAATTAACATCGGCTCAAAGGCAGGAAGCGTCACAGTTGAAAACAACTGTTAGCATAATCCATTCTATTTCAAATAAGTGGTTTAACAGAGCAATGAATATGTTCACAGTATTTCTTTTTTTAAAATTTATTTCCTTATTATTCTTCCTCTGGATAAAAAAATAATATTTTAGTTTGGCTGGAATAATAATAAAATATTTAAATAAATGCATTGTCAATATTATTAACTTCCTTAAGATATACATTACCCCCCAGATTGGTTACAGAATAAACCACTTTTTGTTTAACTAGTTTTAGAATTACCCAATAAGCATTTTAATCACAATATAAGCTTAAAACTGGTATCTTGTAAAATATCATGTGCTGTCGCCATGGAAAAAGTATTGGAAATTATTTGATAAAACTATTGTGTATATGGTTTTTTGTGTGTGTCTTCAACAGTAGGCCTATAAGAATCTTAAGAAACAAATTGGTGAAAAAATTAAAAGTGATTTTAGGCTTCTATTTTATAATTAAGAACGGCCTTTGTTTTGATGCTAAATAGAAACAGGTTGATGCAACATTTATGTGGATATTGAACGACGGTGATTTTATTCATGTGCATGCTTTGTCTCAGAGTCTGCATGCTGTTTACCATGGTGCACTAAGATTTATAACTAGTTTTAAATGCCTTACTCATCATTGTGTGTTCTAGGTTAGTCTGATTGGTCCATTCATAGGCTCAAGCATTGGCGTATCTTTGTTTACTAATCTATCTGGTTTTACTCCCATCAAATCTACAGAATTACATTTTTTAAAAACCTGTCCTTAGCTATGGCCTTCGGTCACAGGATATTTATGTACTGTCTTTTCTTAAATTGCGGACTGAGATGGGGGAAAAAGGCTTTTAAATATGCAGCACTTTTTGCATGGAATAATCTACAAACAAAGCTGCAGTTTAAAGAATTGATTTTACTAAATGTTTTTTTAAAAGAGTATGATTTGTGAAATTCAAACACAGGCTTGTATATATAGATGCTTGAATAGTTTGTCAGAGTGATTCATGTTAACTGTCAATTGTGTTTTGTTTGTTGTCTATTAGACCTATGTGACATGTATACTGCCTAATCTTGGCCAGGATGCATTTGTAAAAGAGATTTTTAATCTTGATGTGTCTTTCCTGGTAAAATAAAGGTTATAATAATAATAATAATAATAATTATAATAATAATGATAATAATAGTAATAATAATAAAGAAAAATAACATCAAATTCAGTTTCTTTTTACTTTTATTTTGCTGTTAATGAGTTTTTCACAAAACCATCTGGTTTAACAATAAAGTCTCGTACATAAAGGATTATTTGCATTGCTGCACAGTAGGCATGGGATGATAACGGGTTTTAAGGTTTACTGTGGTTTTGAAAATCAAGGTTTTAAAACTGTTAAAATTTTCTGTTATACCATTCCTCGGGTATTTGTAAATTTTTTTAGGTGTTTTTTACGACTATTTTATTTTATGAGATTTTTTAGGGAAACAGTATCTCCAGCAGATAAGAACCCTCCACATCAAAAGCTACTGGTCAATCCATGATTCAGGAAACATTTGAGAAACAAGTTGCTTAAAACCACCATACAAGCATGCTACTTGAACAGTGCAGTTACTTACTTTATAACAAAGAAAAGTAAGATATCCAAAGATACCTTCTTAAGTTGTAAAGAAATCTGTGTTTTTGAAACTAATGAAGACAGCAAGATAGTCAATGACTTACAGTTGAAGTCAGAATTATTAGCCCCCCTGAATTATTAGCCTCTCTGTTTTTTCCCCTAATTTCTTATTAACAGAGAGAAGATTTTTTTCAACACATTTCTAAACATAATAGTTCTAATAACTCATTTCTAATAACTGATTGATTTTATCTTTGTCATGATGACAGTAAATAATATTTCACTTGAATTTTTTAAGACACTTCTATACAGCTTAAAGTGACATTTAATGGCTTAACTAGGTTAATAAGGTTAACTAGGCAAGTTAGGGTAATTAGGCAAGTTACTGTATAACGATGGTTTGTTCTGTAGACTATCGAAAAAAATATATAGCTTAAAGGGGCTAATAATTTTGACCTTAAATTTATTTATTTATTTTTAATTGCTTTTATTCTAGCCGGACTAAAACAAATAAGACTTTCTTCAGAATAAAAAATATTATCAGACATACTGTGAAAATGTCCTTGCTCTGTTAAACATCATTTGGGAAATTTTCAAAAAAGAGAAAAAAAATTGAAAGCGGGGGCTTATAATTCTGACTTCAACTGTATATTAATTATTTAGCCTGACATATTTATTGTTACAAAATATTTAAAATGTTAAAATAAAATATACCTTGTTCAACGGGAAAAAACCTTTGTTGTTTTTTACCCAGACATTTAAAAACAACAGATTTTAAAGCAGTAATACCATATTGTGAAACCGTGATATTTTTATCCAAGTTTGTCATACAGTCAGAATCTTATACCGGCCTATGTCTACTGTACAGATGCTGAATTCCAACAGAGAGAAGAGAGACTGGGTGACTTTGCTATCCACCATCCAGTCCCAAAACCCCGTCCATCTGTAGCTACAGAAAATCATCTCACTCCCAAAAAACCTCCAGTAAAACCCCGGCGGAGCATTAAGGGTCGTCCCACAACACAGCAAGAGGCTGATCAATTAAACCAGGGCCAGCAGAAGGAAAATGAGGTAAATCTGTCATAAAATAGACTTAGAATAGAATGTTTTTCTTTAACATAATTTGGATGTATTAATTTTTGGGCTATGATTAGGCCCACTCAGAGTCTGTGCTTGCAGAAATCCGCAGATTTCCCAGATTTGTTGCCCATCAATGCGTCTATTTATTGACTAGTGTATTTAAATGTGTGTAAATTTATATTTATTAAGTTTTTAAATTAATTTCAGTAATATTATTGCCGAAATAAAACAAATAAGACTTTCTTCTGAAGAAAAAATATTATCAGACACACTGTGTAAATTTCCTTGCTCTGTTAAACATCTTTTGGGAAACATTTAAAAAAGAAAACAAAATTTAAAGGGGGGCTAATAATTCTGACTTCAACTGTATATATGCATTTGAGGTTTTAAAAAGCCTTCAAATGTACTCAAAGACTAAATACGTCTATGATATCACATCCTCAAGACATAATCACTTCTGTCAGCGGTTCTATTACTTTCTCTGAAGAGTTGTTTGAAGCAAAGAAATAGGAAGTTGGTCAGTTCACCTACAAAAAAACAGAGCGATCGGTCTTGCAAATATAATGTGCACATTTCAAAAATATATCCAAGCCTTTTTGTAAATGATATAAATTTGAGATTATTAGCCATTTCAAAGCAGAATGGACTGTGATTGGTTGTTTTTGTTTTTCATCAGCTGGAAAACAAATCATTCTGAAAGTGATTTGAAAAAATGTGATCCTCTTTATCATAGCATCATATAATATTATAATGATTATGTAAACTTTATAGTTATCATCACTGAAGTGAGTAGGTCTTTAGAGTGTCATTGTATTGGATTTAAAAATAGTCATTGTACATAAACAAGAAGTTAACACTGAGCAACTTCCTTTTTAATAACAGAATTGTCACAGACAGTTTTAAACTCTACATTTGAGTTCTTCATCTGTTTTGCTGTAATTTGTTGATAAATTAATAATTTATATAATCTAAAATATAATCACCTTTAGGAATGCCAAGGCCTAATTTCAAATAAGGGCATTTGTGTAGCTTAGATTTAAACAGCATGGAAACGGAAATAAATGGGGTTGTAGAAATGATTTTAACTCAAAAATGGTTGACAAATTCTACATTTTATTACAAAGAAATTGGAGGTACATGTACTATATTTAATTAAACATAATCTTTAATAAAAACAAAACAAAACAGTTTGTTCCCCCCTTTATTCACTTTTAAGTTGTTAATATTGATGGGTGGGGCGAGGCAGTGGCAAAGTAGGTAGTGCTGTCGCCTCACAGCAAGAAGATCGCTGGTTCGAACCTCGGCTCAGTTGGCGTTTCTGTGTGGAGTTTGCATGTTCTCCCTGCCTTCGCGTGGGTTTCCTCTGTGTGCTCCGGTTTCCCCCACAGTCCAAAGACATGCAGTACAGGTGAATTGGGTAGGCTAAATTGTCCGTAGTGTATGAGTGTGTGTGTGTGTGTGTGAATGTGTGTGGATGATTCCCAGACATGGGTTGCGGCTGGAAGGGCATCCGCTGCGTAAAAACTTGCTGGATAAGTTGGCGGTTCATTCCGCTGTAGCGACCTCGGATTAATAAAGGGACTAAGCCGACAAGAAAATGAATGAATGAATGAATGAATATTGCTGGGTCCAAACCTGTACTCATTTGAATTGAGAAAATCTTAATATTTGATTTTTACTACTTTTTAGTCAGAATTAATTACTTTTAAATCAAAATTTTTCATGAGATTTGGCATGGGAATTAACAGTAGTATCACAGCACACTGGTTCTGTATCGGACTTTACCATTTGTTGTTCTATTTTGGAATCTGATAGCTTGTTTGAACTCAGAAAACATAATACAACACATACTAGAGCAGGGGTGTGCAAACTCAGTCCTGGAGGGCCGGTGTCCTGCATTGTTTAGCTCCAGCTTCCGTCAATACACCTGCCTGGAAGTTTTAGTATACTCAGAAAGAGCTTGATTAGCTGGTTCGAGTTTGGGCACCCCTGTAAGAGTCCAATGGGGCTAGAATCTGAACTACATCTCTACTATAGAGACATACATTAAAGTCAACTGTAGAATCCAGAAGAAGTGTCTGAGGTATAAGGCCAATTCATGAATGCTTGTCCTGCAGCTCACATCTCCAAAGAAAGTAGGTATATTATGAAATACTTCAACGTTCTATCTTTTTGTTCTAAAAATCTGTCAAATATATATTTTATGATTGCATAAAACTATTTTTTATATAAGTGTTCCTTATATGCCATTGTACTGTTTCTGTTTAAGACGGCGGTAAAGCGAATAGATCCTGCACTGGTTTTGGGTCCCCCGAGGCCCCTGGAGGCTCTGTCTCCATGTCTGCGTGCGAATACTTTGCTGTGGTTTGAAAGAACGCAGCTGCCTCGACTGCAAACACCCGGACAACCTCTGCCCTGTTGGCTCCATGGTTTCGCTACACGCAGGTTACAGCCACATCTAAATAATTTTGCAAAAAAAAAAAAAAGAAAGAAAAATAGGTGCACAAGCAAAGTTGCATGCACACAGATGTTAAATGGTGTCAAAAACAAATATGGTTTACATGTTCACATAACCTGTGTTTATCTGTCTCACTCAGGGAAGCGGAACAGCTGCTACAGGATAAACCACTAGGGTGTTTCCTGTTGAGACTCAGCGAGTCAAAAATCGGCTTTGTGCTGTCTTACAGGTACTTTCATTAAAACAGCGACCTGAAAAGAATTTTGGATACTAAAAACTAGCTAGAGCTAACTATAATTATAACAATCACTGTATATATATATATATAAATATATATATATATATATATATATATATATATATATATATATATATATATATATAGCATCCACACTATCACTCAATAAAGCTTTGATAACTATAAGCAGTCTACGACAGTTTTGTCGCCTACCACTTTAAATATTTGCACTCTTTAAAGCAGAGTGGATTCTGATTGGTTGTCAAAGTGTTTACTGTTAATTCACGTAAAACAAATCCTCATTCAGTCTGTCATTATAGTTTTTTTATAGAATTAGATTGATTAATTAATCTTTATAGTCCTTAATATCATTTTTTCGAGTGTTGTTAAAGTTAAAGCAGCTTACCTTTTGATTATTATGACAGATGTACAGTTTTGTTCAATAAAAATATTCTTGAACAAAATTTAGACCAACTGTTTTTCTGAATGAATGAGCATTTTTTTTAAACAAATCAGTTGTTTCAGATCAGAACAAGTTATTCAGTGACCTATTTTGCATATATTTATAGTGCAACATGCTGCTAACAAAATGAGTCTAAAAAATATAATACTACTTTTTATAATAAAAACAATATTATTATATGTATAATTATCAATATCATTTCATAAACTGTAGCAGCTATGATAAGAGCAACTATAAAAATGCTAGACATTCAAATTAATATTATATATATATTTTTTGCCTTCTGCCACTTTATTTTTTGTTCTACAACACAAAATCGATTAAAAATCTATGGATAGATATACCCAAAATTAACTAAATGCCATGTTTAACCACTGTAGGCATACATTAAAGTCAGCTGTAGATTCTAGTAGAAGTGTCTAAGGTAAGACAAATTCATGAATGCTGAACTGCTGTTGTTGTCCTTGAGCTCACATCTTAAAAATGATCAAAAGTTCAAATAGGCATTATCTATAGAAATACACAGTATATTTGAAGTGTAAACAACCCCATTTATACCAATAAATAAAATTGATCACATCAAGTGTCATCTGTTTCTTTTTTTTTTACTTCATGCAAATTTCATGGGAAAATATGGCTTGGCACTTATTTTAAAATACAACTACATTAGATAGTTTGGCTATGCATTGTGGTAAACTATACGTTGGTGTCTTTTTAAATAGTATCTATATCTGTACCATCTCTTGTCTCACTCATTCTTTAAATAACAAATGCATTACAAATCCTCAGAGGTGAGGACCGGTGTCGTCATTTCATCATTGAAGAGGAGGAGAGTGGAGCATTTGGTAGTGTGTATCTAATTGCTGGAGAAAGCAGCCATCATAAAAGCCTGGAGAACCTGATCAGCTACTACACCCAAAATCCTGTGGGGCCCTTTAATGAGTTGTTGACTGTGCCTTGTACGCAGGTGAACACTTTTTTCCTCTCACGAAAATTCATTCATTCGTTCAGTTTTCTTCGATAAATAATCCCTTATTTATAAGGAGTCACCACAGCAGAATGAACCGTTAACTATTCTGGCATACGTTTAATCAGCGGATGCCCTAGTACTGGAAATCTGACTAAAATTCACAAATGTACATAATTATATACAGTACTTTTCACTTATATTTTATGTTTTTTTTTTCTTGATATCTAGCCTTATGTGGGCATTGAAGAGATTGAGAGATTGAGGAACAAGGAAACAGAGGTAAATGGGAAAGCAACAGATCAAGAGGAGAAGACCAAACTGCCCTTAGCCATTGGTCCAGCCGTTTTAAATCAATTACCCACAAACCCACCCAATCAGATCACATCTGCTACAGGAGAGACTGTGCAGTATGCAGCAATAAGAAAGCCACTGAAAAAGACTCTCTCACTGCCAGAGTGCAAGTGTGTAGCTGAAACAGCGCCTCCTGTCCTGGAAGTGAGTCATTACATTAAACTTTTTCTCTCACAATGGGATATGTGCACAGCTAGTGTTTTTCAGCCAGTGATGAACTTCCGGTGAAGGGTTTATGTAACTATTTTCAATAATTATAAAAATATTTTCCATAATGTTCCTTTTACAGTATCTAAGTTGTGATGTATTTTAAACATATTTTGGTAAATAGACTTAAGCATCGATTTGGCTGTTAAAGCACAAAAGAGACAAACAACCGTTTAAACCCAGGTGGCGTCTTTAGCAACAGGTCAGCGCCAAAACTCCATTTAAAATACTGGGGTAAAATTAATTTAATGACATGATACGGAAAAACAGAATTTAATGCAGTGCTTCTTGTTTGGTCTGATATCCACTTTATATTGTATCCCAGCCAGGCAATGAAGATCCCTGATTTTTAAAGAAATCAGATCTTAAACGTGGCGATTTTGTATGGGATGACAATACACCGTAAGCCCTGGGGCTGGCTGACTGAAATTAAAAGTCTTTGTGCATAAACCCCATTCTTATTTGACATTTCAAAAGATAATAAAACATTAAAGATATTTTAGGTAGATCTTTCAGTCATATTTTTTTACATAATGAAATACATCCATGTATTAAAGGGATAGTTCACCCAAAAATGAATAGTCATAATTTATTTACACTCATTTCAAACCTCTATTAGTGTCTTCTGTTGAATACAAAAGTAGATATTCTGAAAAATGCTGAAAATGTGCGATCAATAGCTGTGTCTCATTTCAGAGGCTGCATCCTCAGAAGGATGCATTCAAAGGGTGCTGTCATCGACGACTGTCTCATTTGAAAAAAAAATTGAAGGCTACTTCAAATGCAGCCTCCAAATGCATCCTTCGTTTCCCAGAGAATGAAGGATACAACTGGTGGACCCTTCGAGGCCTCGAACATCCTAAGATTTATTGCGCGCTGACAACTCAGGACGTTTTTAAAAAAAGACTCAGGATTACAGTTTTAAAGAGCCCCTATTATGCATTATAAATGGTCATATTTTGGTTTTGGAGGTCTCCAAGAACAGTCTGATATGCATGCAAGGTCAAAAAACACTTTCATTGTCTTGTAATTTGCATTTCGTTTTATCTAATTATCACAACGACTGCCATATGATTTGTTCAGCGATTTATTTGTTCCCAAACCCTTTCTTAGTGCGATGCTAATCTGTGTTGATTGGTCCGATGATCCAGTCTGTTGTTATTAGTTGACTGCGTTCAGCTCGAAACAGAGAAAAAATGGCCACCATGGCTTATCAATAATTTTAAAGTAGCCAGAGTGCAGAGAGTATGTGTCCAATGCTGGAGTGTATTAAAGCAATGCAGTTAAACACCTGCATATTGCTCTACTCTTAACCATGACACACATTCAGTATTAATCCACACAGCAGCAAAAGCTGTAAATTTTTGAAACTTGACTGCTGCACATGTGTTGGCACAGCTGACGGTGGCCATAGCAACAACAAACTGCAGAGTATTGCGAGCTCACAAACCCATTTAAATCTGTAAAGAAAGTGACAACATGGTTTTAGACACGATATGAGAATATAAAGAGTTAACCAGATACACTAGAAGCTACGTGGAGTGGTTATAAGTAACAAAACACAATTAAATACACATTTTGCAAGCTAGAGAAAACAAGGAGGCAACCATTTTAATCACACTTACTTAGACTTGCACTCTCAGAAATATAGGTACACAAGCTGTCACTGGGGTGGTACCTTTTCAAAAGGTTTTTAAAACCATATTTGAAACCACCAATAAAATGAAATGACAGCTGTTTCTTAAGTTTCTCTTCTAAACATCTGAATCAAACAAAATCGGCATATTTTAGTACCATAAATATAAAACCAAAAAGCTTTTGTTTTCAAGAGCACTTGGTTTATTTAAAAATACAGATTTCAAGCTTTATCTGGATGAATTTCTTATGTCTGTGAAGCTTATGTCTGAAATAAACACAGCTTATGACTTTCACAATATTTGTTTTCCTGTGGAACTCAATGTTTACAGATTTTCGGCTTTTTTCAAAATACTTTGTGTTCAACAAAAAAAAGAAGATATTTATAAAGGTTTGGAACCACTTTAGGGTAAATGAATAGTGATTAAATAAATGTTTTGGGTAAAATACTCCTTTAAAGGTGCCGTGAAGTGCTTTGATATGTGTATTTTTATTCAATGTTTGACGTAATCTCAACTGAAAAAGATGAGAGGGTAATAACTCCATGGAGTAACTCCTTCCCTTAAAAAAACAGCCAATAGTGTTTAGTTTTTATCACAGCTCTGCCAGTGAGAGTGGTTGATCTCAAGCACATCAAATGAAAAGCACATAGATATATACATTAGATGTCGCTTCCCTGTTGTTGTCTATAGGAAGGAATGCGTCAGTAGAGCCGCCGTTTTGGAACAGGGTAGCGCTCCTTTGAAATGAATGCAGGACCAAAGTACCGTGGAGGACTGTGAACATCCAAAGCCAGAGATATACACATATATCTATGATCAGGAGTTTTCCTGGATGTTAGCATGCAATTATTATTATTTTTTTTTTAATTACGAAAATTATAATTTTACATCACTTTTCTACATTGATGGATCAGTGATCGCATTGGCATTCCTGACAAAAAGCGTGTGTTTGTGTGTTCGGAACTGTACTATCCGCTCTCCCTGTTAAATTTGATCTATTCCGTGTCCTGAAACACACCCCTGACGGACGGGGGGAGCGATTCGTTTGTGAATAAATCTCCATTATGAACGACTCCTTCACTAGCCGACAATAGAACAAGTTTCTGGCACCGCAGCATCTCGTTGTCATATTTCTTTTGCATTGTTTTCTGATTTTATTCAACAAAACTAGCATAAGCCGAGTCTTTAGTGCGAGTTGGAGCTACTTTGCCTTATGGTGAATGCAGTAAGAGATTGTATTATCATTAATAACATTATCTGTTTAGCACAAAAGTACAGAACATACAAAAACGTAAAAAAACTTAATCTTACCTATGAAATGTTCTGCCTTTGTGCTTTGTTTTCTTTGTTTGCTCGTTACTAAACCCGTAGACAGCGTTAAAGTCCCGCATCTTCACGTAATAACACTGTCTTGACTAGTGCGGTTGAATGACAATTGTCCTGGGAGCACTGTACCAATGTGGCGGCTCTATTGACGCATGCTCAGGGTCCCTATGCGATATCTAGTGTATATATCTATGTGAAAAGCCAATTAAAGTGCCTTGAAGGGGCGAGGCATGTCAGATACTAGACTGCATTTAATTGGTCAAGATTTGACGAGAAACTGAAGTGACAAGAAAAAAAATCGTTGATTGAATTATGTGGAAGTGAAAAACTGCAAGCTTTGGATGTTTTATATTTGATTTTTGGAGCACACTAGCTTAGAATAAATAAGAAGAAGCTCCAAAAACAGAATGAAACTAACACCTAAATTGTTTTATTATAATTTCATGGGACTTTTTATACCTAGGTGTTACTGCAATACATCCACAATCTGAAATATTGTCATGTTTTTTTTTCTTCATCTATGTATATCTTCATAGACTTAATCTACATTGTAAAAGTGCTATAGAAATAAAGATGACTTCACATTTTTATTTGTAACTTCAAACTCTAAACTCTTTTGCCTCCATGTAGAATGGCACTGCTGAGCCTGCTGAAAGACCCTCAAATCCTAATTTAACTGGAGATCAAGCTCATACTGTGGACGCCCCATATGCTAGAGTTAAAAAACTTCCAAAAGCAGTATCAGAAAATACCTCCAACATAAGCACCGACCCTGACCTACAGGGAGCGACGGCAGCTTTCACCCCTCCATCCATCCCAAACTTTGACTCAACAGCAGACCCCAAATACTGGCAACTGGAGCCCCTGCACACCTATGAGGAGACCCCGTTCACACACAGCCGCCCAGAGGACATTGACTGCTATGCTGTGGGGTGGAGAAGGCAAGCGAATGAAGATGCAGGTAAAAAAAAAAAAAAAAAAAAAACATGGTCACACTTTATTTTGATGGTCCGTTTGTTGAATTTAAGTTTCATTGCTTCTACATGCCAACCAATTCTCATTAGACTAGAAGTAGACTTCTAGGTTGGGGTGAGGGTTGGGGTTAGGGTTAGTGTAAGTTGACATGTACTTGCAAAGTTTCTTAAAGTCAGTTAAATGTCTGTTGAAGGAGCAGTATCAACAGATATTAAGCAGACAGTCTACTAATACTCAAATGGACCATCAAAAATAAGGGTTACCGAAAAGATTTGAAAGAAAATAAGCATCAGAATGTACCACAACTTATTTTAACTTGAATTTGTGAATTGAATTTTAAAGAACGAACAACGCAAGACGAGGCAGTGGCGCAGTAGGTAGTGCTGTCGCCTCACAGCAAGAAGGCAGCTGGGTCGCTGGTTTGAACCTCGGCTCAGTTGGCGTTTCTGTGTGGAGCTTGTATGTTCTCCCTGCCTTCGTGTGGGTTTCCTCCGGGTGCTCCGGTTTCCCCCAAAGACATGCGGTACAGGTGAATTGGGTAGGCTAAATTGTCCGTAGTGTGTGTGTGTGAATGTGTGTGTGGATGTTTCCCAGAGATGGGTTGTGGCTGGAAGAGCATCCGCTGCGTAAAAACTTGCTGGATAAGTTGGCGGTTCATTCTGCTGTGGCGACCCCAGATAAATAAAGGGACTAAGCCGACAAGAAAATGAATGAATGAGAAGGAACAACGCACCAACTGAAAGGATATACATTTTAGGATTAGCCCACCTGAAAATGAAAATTCTCATTTGGTTCCAAAACCTTAATAATTATTTAGTTTGTAACAAAGTAAATATATTTTTGGCCCCTTCACTTGAAGTTTGTCGACCTTAAAATGTACAAATGTTCATAAATAGATGCAAAAATAAATCCAATGGAATGTTTTCACTTTCGATTTCACTTGAGAGGTAAAACTCTTCACTTTAAAGTCACATTATGAAAGATTTTATCATTGAAATATCCCCCCCAAAAAACTCTAGAGCAGTGTTATATATATTGCTATATGTTGTTATTTTTTGCAAATGTTTTGAAGAATGTTCAAATCTAAAGAATAAGTATTTTAACTAGTGACACTGACCCTGTGTCAACGTGCTAATGCCGTCATCCTATAATGGTGAAAATACATACTGTGCCTTTAAGATAACAATAATTATACATTGAACGTATTCAATTTTAGCCTCGTGCAACACCCAATGAGGTTTATTATTGCATCATGTGGAACATCTGAACTTTCCCTGGAACCAAGGAAATTAGCTTAATTTCAACAAGCTGGGTTGTGCTCTGTTCCACTTTTAGACACGCACTTGCAAACTCCCCTTTCCTTTGTTCCCCTCCTCCATTTTAAAGTGTATTTCCCCTGTTTAAATCAATGAGGGAAATTTACATGGACATACCTTCGATCCCTTGATTTTGACAGAGGGAGCGAGTCGCCTTCATGTCCACTCCAGCGTCCCAGAACGCAACACGGTTGTGACGTAACAACACTGTAGTTCCCAAGTGCTCAAAGGTATAGGGCATTCCATTTAAACCCATTCAGATGTTCCACCAGTAGTGGATAATTGTGTGATGTAATGCATGTTGTACATCTGAGGAAACAAGATGAAGGGAAGTTAGCAAGTGAAGGGCATAAAAAATTAGACTGGAATGCAGCACAGGTGTGGTTAAGCTTCAGTTTACCTTTACTGATCAGTGAAGAGCAGTACACACAGTGCGTTCCAAATGTGATACAGTCTATCGCTCTCAGTAGGGATGCAAAATCATGGCCGCCATATTGAAGTGTTGATCCAAAACCAAAGTGCTTAAAACTAGCCACTTTAAAGGGTCCTTTGGAATGAAAGATTTTGAAAATACAACTGATGGACACTTCGGGCCATCATCCTTTGAGCAGGGTCGCTGTTTGGTGTCACACACTGCACATAATTCAAAGGTGCATCCCTATGCTCAATCCCTACAGAGGGACATTCTGAATGGAACCCAGTGGTAATCTGTTAATCACATAAAGTCATTGAGTCTCTTTAAAAGACTCTCACCATCTCAAAAGATTAAAATGTTATAGATTCCTCATGGATATAGCCTTTTTATATCTATATGAATGAGTTTTTTGGGGGGGAGAGGGACAAAAATCTGTCATATTTGATTCAGGTTTGAATGGCAAAATGGTGAGGAAATGTTTTACTTTAGAATTAACTACTCCTTTAACTTATACCTGTAACCGTGCATTCACACGAGGCTTCAGTGTCAACGCTTGACAGAGGGCAACTCTGAAGTTCTGACGCGATCGTCATGGCAGCTTCAGCCAATAAAATTAGTCTGCAATCGGTTACTGTCTAAGCTGGGGTATTTGCATAAAGTGATCTGATTGGCTGCCGCTTCCATTGGTGCTTGAAAAGTTCTGCAGCGAGCAACGCCACTGAAGCAGTGCAGACAGACCTACAATTCAGTTCGGCAACGTTTGACGTCACCTATTGAAAGTGAATGGGAAGCGTTGACACCGACTCCTCGTGTGAATGGGGCGTAAGACCTCAATCACCTGAACCTCCCTGAACAAAACCAACCATCAACTCTTCTCTACCCCACAACACACAACTACCTCAAAACATTATGCAATTCTGGGTGTTCCTTGCACAGGTGAGTAGGCTTGACAAACCACCTGTAGCGAACACACTCTATTATCTATGTCATTTTTTATCACACAATTTCTTCTGATCACTTAACATCTCAAAAAATAACATTCATTCATTCATTTTCTTTTCAGCTTAGTCCCTTTATTAATCTAGGGTCACCACAGCGGAATGAACCGCAACTTATCCAGCATATGTTTTACGCAGTGGAAGTAAAATAAATAAAAATAAATAAATAAATAAAAATGTATGCATTTATGAGGTGAGCTCAGGCAGCCCGGTGGCTCAGTGGTTAGTACTGTTGCCTCACAGCAAGAAGATTGCTGGTTCGTGCCAGTTGGCATTTTCTGTGTGGAGTTTGCATGTTCTCTCTATGTTCACCTGGGTTTCCTCCAAGTGCTTCAGTTTCCCCACATTCCAAACACATGCACTATAGGTGAATTGAATAAATTAAATTGTCCATAGTGTATGAGTGTGTGTGTATGGATGTTTCCCAGTACTAGGTTGTGGTTGGAAGGGCATCCGCTGCATAAAACATGTTGAAATAGTAAGCGGTTTCATTGCATTCTGGTAACCTCTAAAATAGAGACTAAGCCGAAGAAAAACGAATAAATGACTGAAGTGAGCTTCACACAAGTAAGTGGGCTTGACAAACCACCTGTAGAAACAATCTTTTCTCTAAAAACAAAATAAACAAAATGTCCCTTCTTACTGATTCTCTGAGCACAAACTGTTCTTAGTATAATTAGCACTTCTTGTGTGTATTGCCTCTTCTTGTTAAATCGCTGAATGCCTCCTCAATTGTAAGTCGCTTTAGACAAAAGTGTCTGCTAATTAAATGACTTCATGTTAAGGTAAGACATTGTGGAAGTAAGCTGTTTGCTGTTTTTATGTTTCCCCCAGTAAACCTTCTAAAGAATCATGAATATTCGGAAGTGAACATCAAGGGTGCTCAAGAAGGCAACGCTGTGCCCAGACCCGGACCTAGTCTTCCTCTTAGACCACCTCCAAGATCTACTCATGGCCCTTTGCGACCGGAGATCACAGCACAGGTAAATATCTATAAAACATTTGAATGTGTTCAATTCTGTAGAGCATATTTAACCTGTTCTAAAATAATAATACTTTTGTTCTCTCTCTCTCTCTCAGAGTTTTGGTGTATCCCCAATGATGGCTCAGCCCCAGTACTCTGGTTTTCATCATTCAGATCAGCCACGTCTGGATGCTTCCTCCAACTCCATTTATGAACAGATTCCAGAAAGATCTAGACCACCTCTGCAGCCCCTAAACCCCAGACGCTGACCTCAAGACTGTATAGATCTCATATATAATATGAGATTATATATATATATATATATATATATATATATATATATATATATATATATATATATATATATATATATATATCAGACAACAGCACATACCAAAATTATGCATTTGTGACACAGGACCACAAAACCAGTGTCATATTACTCCATATGGGTATATTTTCCTTTTATGACATCAAATGAAAATGAAGGTAATATATTTTGTAAATTTTCTATTGTAAATAGATTAAAGCTCTAAAACATTGGTAAGAAGTTCATATAAACAGCTTAAAAGGCAGATTCTAGATATTCAAACAGTGTTATCTTTGCCAAATATTTTTTCACATGCAGACAATTGGAAAACCTATTTATTCAGCTTTCAGGTGATGTAGTTTAAAAAAAAATGACACTCAAATATAACCTGTATATACAATTGTACATGCATAGGTAACACTTTGCAATAAAAGTACATTAATAATGATGTGTTAACATGTAAAGTAAACATTACTTTGATATGAACTAATGATGAGTTAATGCATGCTCTACTCATGAACTAACTTTAACTACAACATGACTCACAGGAGTTCATGTGTGAAAAAGGCTACCTTAATTATTTGTTAGTACATGCATGATAATCATTACATAAGATTTAAGCTAATTCATCACCTTGGAATTAGGGTTTTATCTGCGTTCTGAATGATTTTGAGATAATGAGCTTTAAAGTTTTTGCAATCCATAACAAACACTGTGTGTAACATTTGTTTTTTTTTTTTAGGTAAAAGGTCTTAACATGTAAACAACATCACATAGTAGAAAAGACTTAAAACATTTAACAATTACCAACTATTTTTATCAACCCTAATATGAATAAATTCAAATGATAATTGTTATCAATGAGATGTCCATAATAGACCAAGAACACACTGCTTATCAAACGAGAAATATCACAACAGCACACAGCAGACACGCTGGTAAAAGCACATTTCAGACACGCATCTTTGTAAAACCCTCTTTTATTTCCACAAACAAGCCTCACATTGATCATGAAGGGCTGTACAGTTCTGTTTAGCATCGGAATCTTGCACTCATTACAAAATGAAGGACAAACACGACCGGAATGGCCACTTTTAATGTCAAAAGCAGCTTGACAATGATCCTACTTTAAGCTTTAAAGGCCAGATCCTCAAATTAACCGCCTGAAGACCAACAACACTTAAAAACAGATTAAATTGTTGAGCGTTTACCCCAATATGGGTAATTAATTTATTCAGAAACAACATTCTCAACCCACTAAAGCCAACCGCCCCTCTCCCACCAACGCATTCATGTAATGACCCCCGATCTGTTTTTGTTTTGTTTTTTTTGTCCAGTAAATGGCAAACTCAGTTCTTTTTGCTCTTCGGAGAGTCGTATTTTCTCTTACTAGAGTACCAGAGGAGCAGAGGAATGCCAATGGAGGGAAGAGTCATGACGCCAAAAGCTGCCCAGTCCAGCTATTAGAAAAGAAATAAAAATTATACAATTATAATAACAGGAGATTATAAACATTAAAAGCCTTTTTATTTAAATTTGGCAGGCTAATTCACTTACGTAATGTGGAGAAAAGCGTCTGTCGAACTCTCTCTGGGCCAGAATGCCTCCCTGACCCGGAGCACTTGTGTAACCAACCTAAAGGATGGAAAGAATGAAAAGTCGATAATTATATGCGCTAGCAATAATGCAAGATTTCCATTTGTCCTCGCAATACAGAAATTATCATTTAAATTTATTGTTTTAAAAAAAAAAAAAAAAAAAAAAAACCATGTTCCTTCAACAAGAGGAAACTCAAAGGTTCGGTATGACTTAAAAGTGAGCAAATAGGGAGTACCTTTTTAATTTTGGGGGAACTATCCCTTTAATTTATAGATGCATTAAATCACTAAACATTTTGGTCAATCAATGAAACTTGAAGGTTAAGACACTCAAATTACATTTGACATTTTTAAAAACAGGAGATATTTTAAAATGTTAGACATTAAATACATATTTGTATAAAATATTTATAACATTTAGGGATGCAACAATTACAAACTTTGGTTGTACGATTATAGTCTAAGAAATAATCACGGTTTCACGGTTATCTCGATAATTTGCATTAATTGATTTCAAAACTCCATTAGTTTAAAACTAGTTTAAAATTGTTTTAAATTTCATTTTGTAGTTCGGGTCCAACTAAATATTTGTTGCTGTTCTAATCGTTTAAGTTAATTTAATTGAATATATAAAAATCTGGATATTATCGATGCATTTATTGGATAAAACTGCTCATTTAATGTGCTTTTGGTCATTATCAATGCAGGCAAAAAACACGCTCTGCTCACGCTTGCGGTGTGAAACAGGCTTTAAGTCTTTCAGCACTCTCTCCGAAAACACTCGGTTAATCTCAGCTGGTATTGACCACGATCGCTCTCATCAGCGCCATTATTTGTAACTTTAAGTGGGTTTGCAAATCTGTGTACTTTCCATTGCTTCTTCCTCAAACTTTAGCTGTTTTCAATTCCTGGTGTCACAAAAGCCCCATCATCTCAACTATGTGCGCCTAAAAATCGTGAGCGCGTTGCGTCGCGTGCGCGTCACTCCATTGGAAATAACAAACTTGCACGAGCCTGCCTTAGTTAATAGCCTCAGTCATAGTTAGTCTTGGTGTACAAACTAGCACACAGTTGGCACCACTTTGTTTAGTTGCTGCAGTTTTGTTCCGTGCAGAAACACGGTGTTGAGAAGCCTTTACGATTAATTAACAGTGACAAATTAAATCGCGTTAATAGTGAAACCGGTTAATCGTTGCATCCCAGCCATGTCACCCTGCAGCCCAAGACCGGTTACTCACTGAAGCTAAGCAGGGCTGAGCCTGGTCAGTACCTGGATGGGAGACCACTAGGGAACACCAGGTTGCTGTTGGAAGTGGTGTTAGTGAGGCCAGCAGGGGGCGCTCAACCTGTGGTCTGTGTGAGTCCTAATGCCCCAGTAAAAGTGAAGGGGACACTACACTGTCAGTGGGCGCCGTCTTTCGGATGAGACGTTAAACCGAGGTCCTGACTCTCTGTGGTCATAAAAAAATCCCATGGCACTTCTCGTGAAAGAGCAGGGGTGTAACCCCGGTGTCCTGGCCAAAGTCCCTCTATCGGCCCTTACGATCATGGCCTCCCAATCATCCCCTTCCACCGAATTGGCTGTATCACTGTCTCTCCACTCCACCAATAGCTGGTGTGTGGTGAGCGCACTGGCGCCGTTGTCCTGTGGCTGCCGTCGCATCATCCAAGTGGATGCTGCACACCGGTGGTGGTGTGGAGAGACCCCCCTTATGATTGTGAAGCGCTTTGGGTGTATGACCATACACAATAAATGCGCTATATAAATACACATTACATTACATTACATTACATTACATCCCTAGTACCATTACTCATCTCACACACCTTTTTGGGACCAAATTTGCGTGATAAACACACGTATGCCAACAGACAACCACCGTAGCATGAAAATCACTAAGCACTTTGTGGAAGTAAAATGGATTAAACTGGAAAACATTGACGTATTGTAAGATTCATGTATCATTTTTTGTTTTCATTTTCAATTTTAATATTTAAAATAAAAATGCATTTTAGCTAAAAGATTCCAAACTTTTTTCCCCCCATTCACTAGTTTTTCTGTTTAGAATCCAAAAGATTATATATTTTAAAGGATGTTGTAAACTGATAGCCATTGACATCCATAGCAAGACAAACAAATCCTACTTAAGTCAATACCGGTTTCCAACATTCTTCAAAATATCTTCTTTTGGGTTAATCAGAAAAAAAACTCAAAAAGGTTTAAAACAAGTGGACAGAGTAAATGACAATTTTTTATTTTTGGGCTAACTATAATTTTAAAACACAATCCAAGCTATTTTAATATGGCTAAGAGTTTTTCCATGCCGACCGTGTACAGAAAACCATTATCATTTAATATTCTCTATCGTTTATTTTGTGGTGTTGCAAAATAGTGTTTACTGTAAAAATGAGCTCATCCAAATGTTGAAAAGTATTACTGTAAAGACAGAAACAAGCGTGCTCGCAAGTACCATTTTTACATTTGGCATTTTTTGTAGATATTCAATGCTGAGCCTTTAATCATTACACCTCACTCACACGGGGCTTTAGCGTCAATGCTTGACAGAGGGCGTGTCTGAAGTTGAGGCTGACGCGATAGTCATAGCAGCATGAGCCAATAAAATTAGTCCGTAATAGGCCACTGTCTGAGATGCTGTATTTGCATACAGCGATCTGAATGGCTGACGCTCCCGTTGGCGCTTGAAAAGTCAAGTGATGCTCACTGCAGAGCTATTTGGGCAGAGCTGAGCTCCAGCGAGAGGGAGCTTGAGCTCTTGCCCCTCCTTTCTTGCACTTCTTCTACGAGTGATGTCACTGGGGGTTGGGGTTAGGGGTGGGTGTACGCATTAAAACAGCTCTGCAGCGAGCAGTGTCTCTGAAAAGTTGAGCAAGTCCCATCTTCTGCAGCAAGCAATGCCTGTGAAGCAGCGCCGACAGATCTACAATGCAGTTCGGCAACGCCTGAACTCACCCATTCAAAGTGAATGGAAAGCGTTGAAGCTGACGCCCCATGTGAATGGGGCGTTAGTCTAAAAGAATGCTTTAAATTTCCTTAATACTTATTTTATATTTTTGAATTTTTAAATTTAACATTTGCCCTGCAGTTCTAAATAAAGTGAGAAATGTTTTGATGATGTTTTGTCATCAACAAGCACTATATTTTCACTTACCACAACCTGTCCGCCTTCCTGCGCAAGGTAGCTAACAGAAGCAGAGGTGAAGTTGAAATATCCGGCTTTCAGTGGCCGCAGAACCACTGTGTGAGAAACATTACTGGCACTGTAGAGAGGAAGAGTTAGGGAATATATTCTACTAATCAACAAGAGTACATCAAGCACCCTGGCTGTCTGACACACTGCAGATGACAAACACCAAGTGTCTAGAGTACTCAAAAAGAATACAAAAATAAATCTAATAAAAATTGTGCATTTTTAGGTAAATAATTAGCAGTTATTGTAATATAACCTTTGTTTATTGGATGCAGTTTATCATCATGCTGCACTAATATTCATAACTGACTGTTAACTTAGCTCATCATTGTACAACATAGGCTTGGCCTTCTGTTGACTAGGAGAGAAATGCAGTGGTGTTTGATTGTTTACATGGCCATCTTGGGATGTTGCTTTTATACCTCTGCAGTCTTATGTAACACAAAACTTGAGAAATATTTCCCTCCGTTCTCAGAGATATTATACTCCTTTTGCTGACACTGAATTTGATTAGAATGATTTTATGCATACAGCTTTGTTCTTGTTTTCTTCAGTCTGAATTGAGATTACAAAAATTGGTGTCTTTAGATCATCTTGAGTTAATTAAATCAAGAGCAAATGCAGGGTGAATCTATGATTTG